TTTTTTAATATTTTATTTATTACTTTTATTTTATGTGTATGAGTGTATTGCCTGCATGTATGTGAGTGCACCCATGTCATGCATTGCTGTGGAGGTCAGAGAGGGCTTCAGATTCCCCTGGAACTGGAGTTAAGGATGGGTCGTAGCCACCATGTGGGTGCTGGGAATCGAACCTGGGTCCTCTGCAAGAGCAGTCAATGCTCTTAACCGCTGAGCCATGTCTCCAGCCCCACTGCTGTGTTTTCTTACCTTGACTTCCCATACTTTAGCTTAAGCTACCTTCGTCTCCATCCTAGTTTATTGCAATGTTCTCCAACTCTTCTTATTTCCATTCTTGCTTTTGTTAATTCATTTCAAACCTCTACTCAAGTAAGAGATTAAAATTTTAAGTAGATAATGTAATTTCTCATGACTTCTTTCCCTTCATCAAGCCTGAAGTCGGGCCTTCATAGCTTCCTATGATTTGACGCCTGCTCATTTCTCGAGGTTTTTGCCCTTGTCCCTCCTGCTTCATTCAGTCCCAGTGACTTTTAGTTCTTGATTCTTCTCTCAGCTCTTTTCAGCTTTAGGGACTTTGCATATGCCTTTCCCTGTCCTCAGAGTGCCGTTCCTTCTACCCTTCACTTAACTAATTAATTCTTCACTCATCTTACAGGTCTCAATTGAAATGACTCTCTCTCTCTCTCTCTCCTTCCCTCCCTCCTTCCTTCCCTTTCCCCCCCTCTCGTGTGTGTGTGTGTGTGTGTGTGTGTGTGTGTGTGTGTGCCTGTGTGCCTGTGAAGGCCAGAGGTCTTCCTTGATCACTGTCAACTTTGTTTACTGTAGCAGAACCTAGAGCTCACTAATTTGGCTAATAGTAGGTTTTAAAACATCATTGTTTATGGAACATTCTTTGTTACTGCTTAAATATTAAGCTTATAAGGATTTTTTTTTTAGTCTTTTTGAGACAGGGTCTCCCTGTAGCCCCAGCTGTCCTGGAACTCACTATGTAGACCAGGCTGGCCTTGAACTCACAGAGATCTGCCTGCCTCTGCCTCCCGAGTGCTGGGATTAAAGGCATGCGCCACCACGCCCAGCTTAGGGATTTTTAAATTTAGCCTTATATGACTGATTTCAGGAACTATTTTGGGGTACATGCTGAATAACCTCAAATTAATTGTTTTTAAAGATTACTTAAATTTATTTCATTTAAATTTTTTTATTATTTATTTATTTTTCTCTTTCTGAGACAGGGTCTCCCTGTAGCCACCTGGCCTGGAACTCACTATGTAGACCAGGATGGCCTTGAACTCACAGAGATCCGCTTGCCTCTGCCTCCCAAGTGCTGGAACTACAGGCATGTGCCACCATGCTCGGCCTCACTTTACTTTTTCATGCCATGTTTGTAACTGTTACCTGGAAATTGACTTTTACCTGTTGCTTAAAGATATAGTCTAAATTTCTGGACTTCATAAACAGACTTAATGAAAATAGCATCTGAGGCCAACCAGATGACTCACTGTGTTAAAGTGTTTGCTGTCAAGCCTGATGACCTGAGTTTGATTCCCAGTACCTACATGGTGGAAGGAGAGAACCAATTCCTGCAAGCTGTCCTCTGATCGCCCCGCATATGCTATGTCATGTCCATGAACATGCACATGCACATGAACACACAATAAATTAATAAATAAAATACAAAACACATTTGCATAGAGTGGAAGAGTCCCTTACATCACACTTGATCACTTGTAATAAGAGGCTGATGGCTGGTAAGCCACCTTGTAGAGTATGCTAAGATCTCCTTTGGTGTGGTATAATAAAGGCAAAGCATATTTACTGCAGATTTCAGAGTATTGCATCCTCTGGAGGGTTGAGGCAGGTCTGGGATTAGGAGTTAGTTGCTCTTTTTCTCTAGCTGTTACTTGAACACGCTTGCTTGAAGACAGGGGCACTCACCAGCAGGCTATGACATAGAGCATGAAAATGTTGCTGATTTGTCTCCAGCTCATCCCAGTCCAGCTGCCAACAGCTTGTAGGTCTGAGGATGAAGGGGAGTCCATACGTCAATGACTCACAGAGCCCACTAGAGTTTAGAGCCCTGGAAAAGAAAGGCAGTGAAAGACTTCTTAGTGATACCTAGAGCCTCTCACCACATCCATCTAAATTTGGCTCAGATTTAGGACCTAACTGTGAAAGCTTGTGGATCAGAGTGTGTAAATTATCTAGTATGTGGCCAGCATCAAGCATGAAGGTACACAGAACACTCTCCAAAGCTCAGCATTCTGTTCACTGGCCCTATGCTAGGAACTAGAAAGCAACAAAAGTGGCCTTTGCCATCATTGCTCAACCTGAGAAATGGTTCCCCTGGAAGCAGGAATCCTAGTGCTTAGAGAAACGGTAGGGTTGGGTGGATCCCCTGTACCATTGCTCTTTGAAAGTTGCATTTCTGTACTGATGCCTACCACACATTCAATAAACATCCACTGAGGCTGGATACCTTTTCTCATGCAGGGACTTTCTGTGTTCCTAATTCTTACCCAGGTCTTCCAGTAGTCTGCTATAGCACTTCTACCATCTGCTCCTTTGGCATCCACTTGCTGAATAGCCCAACCTTGCTTTTTTCATGACATGCTTGTCACTGCTCCCTGGGCACTGCCTTTTGCCTGACTAAATCTCTGGACTACATTGTTGTGGGGTCAGTAAGAACACCATAGAGTAGGGAGGTTTCCTCAGACCATACTTGATCACTTGGAGCTTGTAACGTGAGGCTGATGACTGGGAAGCCATCTGGTAAAGTGTGCTGATGTCTCCTTTGGGGTCATCTATTCTCGATGTGCCATCAGCTGTACCAGGAAGCAGGGATGGGCTCAGAAATCGCTCTTGGAGATCACATTTCAGGCACACTACAATAAAAGCAGCATTGGAGAAGGGGCTGTGGGTCACAAGTTACCTCAGGCTATGCCATTAAAAGACAACATCTGCTACCCAGTTCTTATCTACCTGGTAAGTAAGGGATACTGGAAGCCAGGGGAGTGGGAAAAGGAAAGCTTGGTTTTGAGAAGGGAAAGCAGGGCTGCAACCTGTAGTCTGAGGCTCTATACAATTAACTTATGTTCTGGGTCTGACATGAGTTTTAGCTGCTTTACTGCCAGGTTGGCTGACCAGTTGTGTCATCTGGTTTATAATCCAATCCTAGGGGAACATGTGTCTTCCATGGAGCAGGGAGCTAATAATGAATGCTAAAATCTACAGAGGCCTTTGATCAATCACAGAAGGAAATCTTGCCTCTGTTGCTTCCCTGTGGCTTTAGCAAGACTGTAGGTCAGATGAAGGAAGAACCAGAAAGCAGAAGTCAGGCAGTCAGCTGACTGCTATTGTTTTTCTGTGGGCTCTTCCAGAGACATTCAGAGCTATGGGAGGAATAAGTTCCTAAAATAGCTTATTTTTAATTCCCCAAAGAAATCTGAGTATAGGACTGTCAAGGCCTTAGAACGCAACTGTGGCAATAGACAACAGATATCAGGAGTGCTTAGATTGGTAACGAGCTGAGCTATTGTTCATGAAGATGTGGCATTCTACTAAGATTTTGTTTTATATTTTTTTGAGACTGGGCTTCATGTAGGCCAAGTTAGCACCAAACTTGCTATGTAGTCAAGGATGATTGTGAACTGATCCACCTGCCTCTATCTTCTGGTACTGGGATTTCAGGTGTGCATCATCATATCTGGCTTTGTATTAAGTTTCTACTCCAGCAGTTACCTTTACATGCCATAGGGCATAACCTTCTGTTGTTCTAAGCCTGAGTCCTTGATGTTCCAAAGTTTTAAAATAAACTATGAATCTTGTTGGGCATGGTGGTGCACGCCTTTGAGCCCAGCACTCTGGAGGCAGAGGTAGGCAGATCTCTGTGAGTTCGAGGCTAGTCTGGTCAACATAGTGAGTTCCAGGACAGCTGGGGCTACAGGGAGACCCTGTCTCAAGAAGACCAAAACAAATAAACAAACAAAAACAACAAAAAAACTATGAATCTAGTTTGAATACTGACAGCAAACTTGTAAATATACAGATGTTGAGCACTTGTGAGGAGGCTACTACAGTAGGATAGTTCAGGGGTTCGGTTTTGCTTTGTTTTTACGTAGTGAGCCACATGCTCAGAAATCCACATGTAGCAGCACCTCAGTTTTTAAATAACACATAATGACAGTGTGATCTTCATTGTGATTGTTTATAATCATAGTGGGTTACATCACCCTAGAGAAGACCCAATTTCTTCAGACTTTATTCCAGCTGTGTCTAACATCTGGATTCCAGGGAGGCCCTGCCTAGCAGAAGCACTGACTGCACATGGATCTAAGTTTTATATACATGTTGAAGGTCTGCAGGCTTCTAAAACTTGGTTCCAGATGGAAATGAACATTCTGACTCTGATCCTGATGCTGAAAGCTTTGGTGTGTGTGTGTGTGTGTGTGTGTGTGTGTGTGTGTAAGCCAGAGAAACTCTGATAGCCATAGAGACAAGGCTGGCTTTAGGAGTTCATGGCCTTTGAGAGTCTCAGTTCTGTTAGTGAGAGAAAGGAAGCACTAGCCCTTTGGTTTAGTGTGGCCTAGCACTAGGCGGGTTACTGGTGTATAAGGGCCCATCACCATGGAAGCAGATAGATCTGTGTTTGATGACTATAGTCTGAACTAAGAATGGTCAAATGTACAAGAAAGCACTGTTACGTTTAATTGATCCTAAGGTGAACACCAGTTCTAGGTGGGACCTGGAATTGCTTCGCTTCAAATCCTGGTTCTGCTATTAATTTTCTCTGAGGTCCTGGGAGGTGTTTAATTTTTTTTGTCTCAATTTTCTCATGTGTAAAACAAAGATAGTACTATATTTGGTTTGAAGACACATTTTTTACACACAAACATCTCTAGCTCTGTCTTACAATTGCCATTAGCCAGGGAGATACTCTTAGGACTTATTATTAACCTAAAAGAACTCTCAAGAAGGATAAAATAATACTATATGGTGACAAGAAAGCACTGTTATGTTTAATTGACAATGTTTTCATTCTTAATGGTGTATAAGATAGTGGTGTATCTTATAATTGATAGCATCTCAGATTTGATGACATATTTAATGATAGTATTTTCTTTGTGGTGGTGTGTGAAGATAAAATGGGATTATGGAAGAAAAGGAGTTAACACAGAGGTTTGGCAAAGGAAAGGCACAAAAATTTTAACTATAAACTAGTTTCTGTGTAAAGTTGCCAGTTGCCTTTAACTTAGGAAAATGGATGACTGAATTCCAGAAGATGGGATAGGGAACAATTAGTATGATCATCTTGGAACAGAATGGAAAGGAGGTCCTAAAGACATTTTATATGCGAAGGAAAGGTGAATCACAGTGAAGTTAAGGTGTCAAAGGCATCCCAGGCTCTAGGTTTTGTTTTTCTAATTATTTTTCATTTCATTTAATTTAATTTTTAATATTTATTTATTTATTTATTTATTTATTTATTTATTATTGTGTGTGTGTGTATGTGTGTGTGTAGGCATGCACATGCTGCCATACACATGTGGAGGAGTCTGTTCTTTCCTTCCAGTGACCCAGGATTGAACTCAGGTTACCAGGCTCGGTGGCAAGTGCCTTTATCTGATGAACCATTTTGCTGGCCTCCAGGCCCTAGGTTTAAATGGAGGGTGGAAGAGAGATCTGATGCCTGTCCCTAGAAAGAAGCGATACATAATACTATTTAATTATGCCTTCAAAGGGCTTGTTCCTACTCTGAAAAAACAGTGGTCATAGCAGAGTTCTACTACAAATGGAGAAAGGAGACCTCAAATATACTGCTAATGGTCAAGAAAGAGCCCTCACTCCTCATTGACGAAGCTTCTTTTTACAACAGATGGAGTCTATTCTAGAATTCCAGAACAAGTAAAATGCAGATAATAAGTGTCTGTGAGGTACTTAACCTTAAGTGACACGTCTTCAATGCAACCTCTACACATAGGACTAATGCATCTCTCAGCTTTCACCAGAGATGTTTCCTTATGCAGCAGATGGTGATTAACATAGAAACCCACAATTGGCTAATGCAGAGAACAAGAGGTTGCAGAGTGCTTATCCCTGAATAGGACAGCTATTTCAAACCTCTGCCTCCCAAGGCTTAGGGATCATGCAAAAGAGGAGGGGAAAAATTGTAAGAGTCAGAGGGGGTGGATGACCACAAGGAAACAAGAGTCTTCCACATAGCTGGTCATTTACTCATATGAACTCATAGCAATGATGACAGCATGCACAAGTCCTATGCAAGCTCAAACCAGACAAAATCCCAGCATAGACATGAGGAAGTGGGTAAGAAATCCCAACCCAATCTAGGGAACTTTTGGCAACTGGTGGCTGCTGGGAGGGGGAAAGACAGTGTGTTATAGGCTCAGAGGTTAAGAGCACTAGCTGCTCTTGCAGAGGACCTGGGTTTGATTCCCAGCACCCATATGGTGGCTAGCAATCATCTGTAACTCCAGTTCCAGGGGAATCTGACACCTTCCCCTGCCCTCCATGGGCACTGTACTACACAGGTGCACTTATACACATGCAGGCAATATATTCGTATACATAAGATAAAATAATAAAATGTTAAAAAATAAATTGGGAGGGGCAGTGGGTTGAGGTTCAGAGAGGGGAGAAGATCTAAATATCATTAAACTATATTGTATGGAAATCATAAAAATTCAATAAAAATTGGTTTAATAAGAAAATCTTAAAAAGAACCTTCTTATCACTAATTGCGCAACTCTTTTATGGATCTAGAACTACAACTTTGGAAGACTCAAATGCTAATAAATATGAAGTATATTCCTCTCCCCCCCCAAAAAAAGAAAAAGCCCTCAAAGGTGGTATAAATAACATGCCATGTCAGAGCCCGGGAAAAGGGCTTTTGAAAGCATCATATCTAGTTCAGTCCTCAACCCTCTATGATCTTTATAGTTGCTACCATTATTCTGTTCAATAAGAAACCCTAAAGGAGACGGCACACTTTGGTCTTTTTCCTGAGGAGGTAGGTTATAAGGAGTTGCCTTTCCCAAGCTCAGTCTGGCTGAGTATACTAGTAAGTACATCTGGCACCAGCCAGAATAATATCTGGGCCTTGTTGGCATGTCTGGAACACTGGGTGAATATTTTGGCTCCAACAGCTACCTAAATTGCTTTGTGAACATGATCTTGGGCTACCAGTTGTCCGTCTTAGAACTTGCCTCTGAGTTGTTTCAGTTTTCCTCAATTTGATACCTAATGATAAGATCTTTAGTTAATGTTATTAGTCTTCTTCTTCTTCTTGTTACAAACAGAGTTATTATTGAGGTACCAGCATTCTTTAAATTATAGTATCAAGCCAGGCAAAGTGGTGCAGGCCTTTAATTCCAGCACTTGGGTGGCAGAGGCAGGTGGATCTCTGTGAGTTCAAGTCCAGCCTGGTCTACATAGTGAGCTCAGACAAGTGGGGGCTACAGGGAGACCCTGTCTCAAAAAGACCAAAAAAAATTTATAGTATCAATACTACTATCAATTTACAATAAGAATATTGAGAAAATGTATGATTCATTGTATTCTTCTATGGTATAACTGATGTTCTATCATTGGGGTATCTAGGACTTTGCCTCTTTAACTAATCAGGCCTAACAAGGCTGAGTTGTGTCACTTTTAGAATGTTTCTCTTTATACCTTATGTTATCACTGGAGTGCCTCATCCAATCCTCATCCAACCCCTAAGCCTTCAATACTCTGTATTCTGATGATTCTCCAGGCTAGTGTCCTAGTCCTAGACAAGAATATTCTTAGTCAACATAATATATCTTTTCAGGGCTGTGTACTTGAATTATCCTTAGCTCTAGAGGACGGAAGAAAGCTCTGTGGAGGAAGAAGAAGATGGATGTATTCTTGGTCTGTTTCACTGTTATGTAGCCAGGCTTTGAAGAAAATCTCCATGCTGATAACACTGTTGTCTACAGTCTGAAGGTCAATGTCAGTTCCCAGGATAGAACTCTCTGCAGAAGAAGGGGAAATGACAGTTAAAGTATTTAATTTTTATTTTATTATTTTTTAGATTTATTTTTATTTTAAATTATGTGTATGTGTGTGTGCGTGTGTGTGTGTGTGTTGGGGGGGGCATGTGCACATGAGTTCAGTAGCTCATAGAGGCCAAAAGAGGGCATTGGATATCCTAGAACTAGAGTTACAGGGAATTGCAAGAAGCCCAAAGTGGGTGCTGGCAACCAAACTCAGGTCTGCAAGAGAAACAAGCACTTTTAACCACTGAACCATCTCTCCAGTCCAAGTGTTTAATTTTTAATTTAAAAAATATTTTTGAGATTCATTCTTTATTTACAAGTCAATGGAGAAATGTCCTCTGTAAATTCTAATTTGGGATAAGAAAAGCAATGTAAAGGCTTGAATCCTGCACCACACTGCTGTGTGTGGGAGGAGTTCATGCCACTATTTCTTTATACAGTGAAGCTGGGTGTGGTGGCACACCTGTGATCCCATCACTTTCGAGGTAGGGGCCGAAGGATAGCACAACTTAGAGGCCATCCTGGTCTACAGAGTGAGTCCTAGGTCAGCCAGGACTATATAAGGAGACTGTTTCAAAAACAAAAATAAAAAGAAAGAAAGATATGCAATGATTTTGTTAAAAAAAAATAAAAAACAAAATCTCATGATTTCTTCATGTTGGCATATGTGAAATAATTAAAAATAAAGATCTCGGTTTCAATTTGACAGTCTCTGGTCAGCTGTGTGAGGTGACCAGGACATCACTTTCACTCAGTGACAGCCCTTGTTCTCCAAGAGTAACAGGTTCTGAGCAGAGACTTTAATTCTCATCTCTAGAGTATCTGCTGGAGGAATGGCGAGGCCCCCGTCCTTAAGGGCCTGAACTTTCAGCTTCTCTGCTTCCAGTTTGGTCTGCTCTTCTACCCTTTGTTATTCTAGGACTTCTTCAATAGATACTTGCTGGAGGGGAGTGTCACTTTCCTTTTCCAAGTCTATTTCTCCTAGTAGGACCACGTTTTCTCCTCTAACCACAAAGATCCCTCAAGGAATAACACCATATTTTTTGCCCACATGAATATGCTCCACTCTCTCTGATGCAGCACTAAGTTAGCAAACTGATTAAAGCTTCATAAAAAGCCTGTAAGTGTCCTTCCATTTCGAAGCAGGACCAAGTGTTTTTTTGTCGATGTCCACGATGAGACTGGCGGTGCAGGGCACGTAGTTCATTTTGAGCTAAGCAGGCTACAGAGGCCTGCGGCTACAGAGGCAACGCGGGCACTCCCGCTCGATCCTACAGACTGGACGGGAATCGCCCTCACCTACCCCAGCCTGGCTTCCAGCCTGCCGGAAGCACCTAAAAAGATTTTTTTAAAGCTAGGAATAGTGGCACACACCTTTAATCTCAACACTCGGGAGGCAGAGGCAGGTAGATCTCTGTGACTTCAAGGCCAGTCTGGTCTATATAATGAGTGCTGGGATTAAAAGTGTGTGCCACTAGGCCAGGCTCGATTTTTTTTTTTTTTTTAAATAGACAGGGTCTTGATATGTAACCTGGCTGGCTTGACAGTCACAGTGTAGACTACATCTTGTACTTGTGATGAGCCTTCTCCTTTGCCTCTCAAGTGCTGGGATCACAAACATGAGCCATCACACCCAACTATTTTTTTTAACTATAAATTTTGAAAAATACAAATTTTGAAGATTCCCCTAAATTTTGTTTTAATTGTATATTTCTGTTTAAAAATATTGTAGACAGGGGCTGGAGAGATGGCTCAGCGGTTAAGAGCACTGACTGCTCTTGCAGAGGACTGGGTTCGATTCCTAGCACCCGCATGGCAGCTACAAACTGTCCTTAACTCCTGTTCCAGGGGAATCTGAAACCCTCTTCTGACCTCCACGAATTGCAGGACACGAGTGCACTCACATACATTTGGCAATACACTCATACACATAAAATAAAAATAATAAAATATTTTTGAAAAATTGTAGACAATAAAAATCAACAAAATTATGTAGCAACACAGGTTAAACAGTTAACAAGGGAGATTTCAGCTTTATGGTATCATTTACAGTAAAAAAACTTTTAAAATTATTACTTCTGTTGAAAATGAATCTGAACATTTAGAAGAAAAAAGATGAACTACCATAAGATTACAGAATTAGTCACTGGCACATCATCTCACAAGTATACTTGGCATCAAAGAGGCAGGGGTGGTCTGATGGAGTGTGATTCCATTCCAGATCTGATGAGTGGTGTTGGGTAGATGGGTTAACAGGCTTTATTAGGGTAGTTCTGAACTCAAGCTGTTCTAGCTCTGGTGCTGCAGGTAAAGGTCGTCAGGGAAAGTCAAATAGAATGTGGTGGAGGAAACATGGTGGAGGAAATGAGGCAAGAGCTGAGAAGAAACAGGAGGATTCCAACTTTTCACACTTCACCATGAGAAACTCTCTGAAATACGTTTACAAAGGGCCTAAGAAAAGCCAGTTGCTCGAATGAATTAACTTCTGTGTATGACTCATGAACCTTAGGCAGTTTATTTCTAGAACGACATTCCTGAGGACAAGTTGGTAGAGGTGGCAAACTGTCCACAAGAACAAAGAAGGTTCAGTCCAACATACTGGCTCCAACACAGGAGGTGCTGGGAGAGTTATCCTCACACTCATTCAAAGACTTATCCTGCAGCTGGCAGGGGAGAGCAAGTGCATTTTCTCTGGTCAGTTAGCATGATCAAAACTCTGCTATCTATCTGCTAGACAGTTATAAAGATTCATTCATCACTAGCTGTTTCATTCATTCTGTCAGGTACACATGACACTGATTATTATTATCTTTTTGGTCTTTTTGAGACAGGGTTTCCCAGTAGCCCCAGCTGGCCTGGAACTTACTATGTAGACCAGGCTGTCTTGAACTCACAGAGATCCGCCTGCTTCTGCCTCCGGAGTGCTGGGATCAAAGGCGTGTGCCATCAGGACAGGCATATAACACTAGATTTTTTAAAGTTCACTAAGAGTAACTTAATTTTTTTTTTCTAGACAGGGTCTCACTATGTAGCCCCAGCTAGCCTAGAACTTGCTATGTAGACCAGGCTGCCCTCAAACTCACAGAGCTCTGTCCACCTCTGCTTCCTTAGTGCTGGGGCTAAAGGTGAGTACCGCCATACCTGCCCAAAACAGCATTATTCTTGACCATTTCCTCTGGAATTTTCATCTGCTCCAATGTGTTTTATGATGCGAAACACAAAGCTATTGCTGAAGAAATAACCACTAAGCCATCTCTCCAGCCCCTCACCTCTGTTCTTGATGATTATGGCTGTTACAGTTCTTTCTCTAAACTATTCTGGCTTGTTCATTAGGTTTTTAAAAACAATTTTATTTTTACTTTATGTGTATAAGTGTATTGCCTGCATGTATGTAAGTGCACCTGTGTGGTGCAATGCCCAAGGAGGTCAGAAGAGGGTGTCAAATTCTCTGGACCTGGAGTTGTGGACAGTTATTAGCTACCATGTGGGTCCTGGGACTTGAACCCAGGTCCTCTGCAAGAGCACTCAGTGCTCTTAACTGCTGAGCCAACTCTCCAGCCCTGTTCATTAGTTTTGAGCTTGAGAAGCTATGTACCTGAAAGGGTGCTGACAAAAGCAATTTTGAAAGACCAATCCTGAACACGGCACCTGTATGATGGAAAACGCTGTGCCTCACTATTCAGATGAGCCAGGCAGCTAGTCTTCCTCATCACCATTCCCCAGTACTGTTTCTACCTTAACCTATCCATTCTGGCAAGAGTCACAGAACAGAATAGTTTCTTCCTTTGAAGAAAATCTTTTATAGTCTCCACAGAGGTGTTGCATTTCAGGTTTGAGCCTTTGTTTTGTGGTCTCAGAGGCAGTAACAAGCTCATGTTATTCATACTAAAGCCCAATGTATAAAGCAGAACACTTTAGAGGGAGAACTTCTGTTCCATCTTCTCTGCCACTGATGTGGGTATTTCCTTGTGCATACTTGCTCTTTTCCTCTCTAGTACTACTTAGGTTTGACTCCCAGTTTGCTTTTCTGAAACATGGTTTCCTTACACCCCTCCTTTGCTGTCTTTCTGCTGTCACTTGCTTATTTGGGATTACTGGGTATCACTTATCATTCTTAAGAACCACCTACCTACCTTTTCTTCCTCTGTGATGGCCCAGGCTAGTTCTCCCCACTGCGACTTGTTGAGGTCCTATTTTCCCATTCTACAAGACCAAGTTCAAGTGCCACCTGCTATATGTCTGGACCTACTCTCCAACTGGGTGTTTCCTCAGTTTTGTATTCTGCTCTCAGGACACAGATCATTTTATATTTTGTGTTTGCACTGCTGTTATTTGGAAACACATTTTATTATCCCCATTTAAATGCAGACTCTTCAAGGGCAGGAATTGCTTCTTTTCACTGAGGTCTTCCCCATCCCCCAGCTTAGGGCCTTGCCCAGAGCTGTAGCTTAGCAAAGGCCTGTTGAACTGAACAATTGCTCTCGTTACTTTTCCCATAACTCTTCAGCTTCAGCTAAATTAGTCTCCTTGTCATATGACTTCCTTCCTTCCTTAGGACTTTTATTACTCTGTCAATCCATGGCCTGCACTTCTTCCAACATTTGGCTAAGAACTTTGCCCAGGAGTTATGCTTAAATTAATCTTCTCTTATCTGGCTTTAATTAGTACCTACTGGGTATTTATGGGTTTCATTTATGCAATATTAATCATATTTGTTCTTCTGAAAGGTTTTCTCCTCTTTCCCTGAGTTTATAAAAAGCAGCGAGATTCAGTAGAAAGGCCAAGACTTAAATTGTGCCTTGAATATTATTAGCTGTGTGGTTTGGGGTGGGGCGGGGACACTATAACCTATTTCCTAATTATCATGAGGCAGTACAGTGTGAGATGCTTAAGAATGACATACAATAGGTCCAACCACTGTTTCTTCCCCTCCCCCCTTCTCCTCTTCTTCCTTCCTCTGGCCTTGGCTCTCACAC